TCCGTAAGAAACAACCTGGTTATGGTTAGAAAATGGTAACTCCTTGGTTGAGGTGAGAGGACGGTCGTGGTCGTATTTGAAAAGAAACCAGTGTTGACTGAAGCTCTGACAGAAAAACAAATCATGCAGCCATGTTGTTTTCCTCCACTCAGTAAATCTGCAGTGTCCATGAGAAACAAGCTCAGGCCTTCAAACTGCTTTTGTTTTGTCTGAAGTTGCACCGTTAGTTGTGGGACGGAAACACTTACATCTCACCTGTTGTACCAGAACTTCTGCTAACTTTATCTGTTTGTAGATTTTTGTGTTTTTCTGTCCACCTTTACTACACCTCTCTTGTTGTGTCAGTGAAAACAACGTCTCATTACATTTAATTGTTGTCTCATCTATATCATGTGGTTTAAAAAGCTACAGCCGCAGTAAATTACACAGTGTGATGCATTGAATTTACAGAGCGCAGTCATTAGTATGTAAGAAACGTGTCATTTATATGAATAGAGTTCAGTCTTTCCCTCTGCAGTGTTGGTATCATTGCTCAAGACTCTTCATATTATGAATCATCATTTCCACCTGTGTGTGTGTTTTTAATGTGTCAGTCACTTTGCTCCAGCATGAAAATCATCATGTAGAAACTTGAACTTCATTGCAGATCATAATCATTTCATAATTCACGATGCCGGCTTGTATTTTTGTTTTCAGTTATTATACTTGCACCTTTCAATCAGTGGATCTTCAAACGCGGCACCGACAGCTGCATTAGGACTCTGCACAAACATAAAAGAAGCAGACAGGATGTTTTTTCTTCTCCAACAAGTCGAAAAAAAAAAATAGTTTCAAGGACTTAATCTTCAGAGGTTTTTTTCTTTTATCTACATGAAGGCAGAAGAACTTGGTCTTGTTCACTACGTCCCCTGTTCCACAACATGCATAATAGTGAAGGTACCTTTTGTTCTTATAAGAAAAGACAGTTCCCGTGGTTGGATGAAATACACAGCGTGAACTGTTTAATTTGAATTGAAGAGACTTCCTGTTGTGAGGGAGCAGAAGAAAATCTTTGGAAAACAGGAAGGTGTTTTTCCTTCATTATCCAACTTTATGTTGATGGAGGGCTCGTCAGTTGGGATGTTTGTCGAATCCAGGGTGGTCATTAATATCTTCACCGTGGAGGTTATGTTTTTGTCTGTGCTTGTAGTTTGGTTCTCAGGATTACGTAAAAACTACTTGACAGATCTTCACAAAACTTGGTGGAAGTTGAAGAAGAGCCCATGAGATTTTGGTGCGGATCAAGTTATTTAGTTAGTTATTTAGCAAGTTTTAGATTTTGGTGTCGCTGTTCATGAAGGAGACTGAATACCTCTATAAAATGTTTAATGTAGGAAAGGTTTTCAGAATTGCAGGTAGTGGATGGGATGGGTACATTTCAGTATGTGTACGTAAAGAAATTCTGTATAGTTGCAGGACATACTGTAAATTATATTTACACTTCTATTTGGTAAATAAAGCTCATTTAATTTAGCACTTTCTTCAGACCACAGTCAGTGTTTCACAAAGTAGTAGTAATACACAATAGATAAGCAATATAAAAGTGAAAAACCATGTGATGAGCAGAAATGAAAACAAAGTATTCAGCACAGCGTTGAACCTCCTTTTAAATATGATTTAAGTCTCTGAACTGAGCAAAAATCCGAATGTGTCCAGAATCCAGTCATCTGTTGTTTTTGTCTTCGGTCAAAGTAACTCAGTGAAACGCAGTCAGCACCAGGGACAGCTCCAGGCCCATACACACAGTGAAGTAACGTTCAGACGTTTCTCAAAACCTTTTTTTTTTTTTGCTTCATGGCTGAAATAAAAAACCAGTCAGGTGCATTTCTTTCAACGCAGCACAGTAATTACATTTCCTCATTTTAACATGAAGGAACAATTATATACGTTGCAAGAAAGGATTAGTCAGCTGCTTCTTAATTGATTTTTTTTTTCTTGTTATTTTATCCTCATGAAGAGAAAAAATATCCCATTTTTTTCTGTGTTCAGGCTGTTCTACGACAGCAAATACAAGAAATATAAAAAAAAAGGGCAGATATTTGAAATCTGCTGTAGATGAAACGCTGCAGTTTTATTCCACAGCCTCGGACTGTTAGACAAGCAACATTGCACTTTTTTCCTCATCATGCAACTAAAGCAAATATTTGCAGAGACGTACATAAGATGAAAATTCCAACAACTGCAGTTTGAATGTGTGTGAGCTGCCTAACAGTGCGTGGAGGAGTATTGCTTTTTACAGATGTGGTGCACAGTGAGAGACCATTTTCTGCTTCACAGCAAAAAAGCTTAAAGAAAAGAAAACCCAGCACAAGCAAACTGTGTGGTGATAACACAAAACGAGTATTATTTGCCAGTATGGAATCTCTACAGCAGAATTATATAGTAATGACTTGATGATATAATATTGACAGACCGATGAGCATGTTCACTTGGAACAAATCAGTTTCTCGAAATGTTAGCAGCAAATTTCTCAAAGGGTGTAAATAAAATGAAACTTTATTGATCTCTGCAGGAAATCAAATCTTTGCTGCCACAAATACAAAAGCACATAAAGAACAGTTCTCTCTTTAAGCTAAGGAACAAGGTCTGTTAATCGATACTAGTTTCACTTTCAATTAATTTCTCCATTAATAATTGTATTTGCTAGTGCAGTATCTGTTTGTAATGTTCTCTTGTCTTGTGGTGATGCGCCGGAGTCGTATTCAGAATGAATTTACTTCTTTACTGTTCATGTATATGGTTTATATATAAGTTTAAATGATGTATTTAGCGGCTGGTATTTTCTCAAACATTGCATGTTGGCTAAATCGATTTTCAGACCCAAGACCAAGATGTTTCAAAATAAAAGCCTTGTAATTCAGCTCAGTGTAAAATATTGCAGCAACTTAACAAACATTGTGCCAAATTGCCAAACTGGAAGTGATTTCATTTAAACCCGTGAATGCCAGTGAATACTCAAATGATCAAAATGATCTGGTGGAACAGATATTATTGGTTGTAGGCTGCTGCAGTTTATCTGAGGACGCAGAAAAAGATTGAACTCGGTCCACAGACTGAAAGAGCACTGCTCCGCCCCCACTGACTGCTACAGAGCACTGTGCCTGTTTATTCAAGGTTTAGTAATATGAAAAATATCACGTGTCCAAATGGCACCAAATTCAACACTGCGCTTCCTTAACGATACACTTGACACGTGTGAAGCTGATATGATGGACGGTTCTCGAGATATTCGACATACAAACAAACAGAGAGTTGTGGAATTATTAGAAGATGAATGTGAAAGCGAAAAATCCCCAATTACAGTTTTCCACAGCTGGAGGTGATGCCTTCATGTGTCTTCAAACGTCTTTACCTTTTCAACATCTTGTTTCTTTGACGAGGTTCATGAAGGGATTCCATCAACAACATTCAAGATGTTAAAGAATAAAACACTTGTCTTGTCAGCCGACTGAATTTTAATCTTTATTTGCTCTCTTTGTTGATCCTCTGTTGAACAGAGTCATTTTTTGGTTACACAGCCTTTTTTTTTCTTTTACACTGACAAAACCAAATTCTGCTTCCTGCACTGTTTCCATTGTCTCACACATCATTAATCATATTCAAGTGTTTTTACCTGAGGCGCCTACAAACTTGAAAATCAGCAAATCTTGATGCAGCTGTTTTTACTTTAACTGCATCACATCAGGGAGACACGCTCACACTTCCTTAATGTCTCATTAACACTGCTTTTCATTTCTCTGCCGAGGATCCAAGCAAAAGGTCTAAATGACTTTTTTTCTTTGAAATTTCTGAGAAGCGATTCCACTGACTCAAATTATCCATTGTTATTCCACGGAGCTTTGGAGAGAGGGGAACATTTTGTCATTAGAAACCAATAAGGCACAAAACATGAAGGTTTCATGTTTCAGCTTCATTCCCACTTTATTTTCTAACAGCACAAAAGTCACAATAATGAAAATCAGAACGCTGAAATATTCTCAAAACTATTTAGGTTTGTTTTTGTAACATTTTTAAACACAATCAACATAAACACACTTTTTTATTTTCATTTTATCAGAATTCAGGACAGAACTAACCACATGTTCCTCTTAATACCA